TGTGTGTGTGTGTGTGTGTGTGTGTGTGTGTGTGTGTGTGTGTCTCTGTCTGTCTGTCTGTTGACAGTTTCATTGTGTTGCTCAAACTACCTTGGAGCCAGATATATCTGTAATCCAGACTAGTTTCAAACTCATGGTTTTCCTGCCTCAGCCTTCCAAGTGCTGGTATTACAGGTAATGAGCCACCATGTCTAGTAATAAAGTATATTTTAAATCAGGTGCAATTGTGTACCCTTGTAGTCCTGCTACTTTGGTGGCTAGGAGTTCAAGCAAGACAGGAGAATTGCTTGATCCTTAGGAGTTCAAGACTAGCCTGAGTAACATAGGCAGATTCTCCATCTCTCATTGCTGCTTTTTTCCTTTTACATTTTTGTTTTTATTTTAAATAAGGTCTCACTATTTAGATCAGACTGGCCTTGAATTCAGTCCTCCTAACTTAGCCCCTGAGTATCTTTGAAGAGTTAAAAAGACTGGAATGAAATACTGATGCCATAGTGGTGGTACAGTGAAAACTTGACCTAATATGAAATGAAAATGCACTGAAATCCAATACTAAATTAAATGAGAAGTAGTACCACTTTTAGCCTCAGTTACTTTGACTTGTGCCATGACTGGAAAATTCATACTTTTGAGAGATAACCAGTAATACAATAATTCTGTCACCATCAGTAATGACCCCTAGTGGACAGATTAGGTGACTTTGTGGATAACAGGGCACAACCTTTGGCTGGGGAGTTGAAATAAAGTGCAAAAAGATGTGAAAGAGAGTTTGGTATTTTGTAAGCATTACTTTAAAAAAATTTTTGGTTGGAGCTTGGATACGTGTGTGGTATGTAGAGGTGAAAGGAAAAGCCAGTGTCTTCCATCATTGAGTCACAAGTTATTAAAGACTTGGTGACCAGTGCTTTACCTACCAAACTACCTCACCAGCCTATTGAAATAATGTTTTTGCCAGTCTTACAGTGAAAATTTAGAGAGGGAGCAAAATTCTGAGGAGGAAGAAGTTCCAAAGAGGATGTGGGAAAACTTGCTTGCTCATGAAGCAGGAATGCAGTGGAGGCTAGAGGGGACTGTTGTAATTAAACTGATTATTATGACTCATTCAAATGTATAGGGTCACTGCCAAATGAGTAGAATGAATTTCTCCTCCAGGAATTGGGTTTGGTCAAAGAGATGGCTAGAAAGCCTTATTAATAAATTCTTTAGTATGATCATACTCCCACCTACCTGGCCCTTTTCTCCTAGCTTTTTGTACTTTTGTTTTGAGTTAGGGTCTGTCATACTAGTAGCACAGGCTGAGCCTCCTCTGAACTTAACCTCACAGATGCTTGGGTTATTCTTATGTACCACCATTCCCAGTTTAGCTTTGTTTGAGAGAGAGAGAGAGAGAGAGAGAGAGAGAGAGAGAGAGAGAGAGAGAGAGAGAGAGAGAGAGAGGTGTTTCTAAGTGTAAGCTCAAAGTCAGAGGACATCTTTCAGGAGTTAGTTCACTCCTTCCACCATGTTAAGTACTGGCTTGTGGGCAAGTATATTTACCTGCTGAGCCATCTCTCTGGCCTTTAGACTTGTTTTTGATACTAGTGGGAGGAATAGTGAATAGGAATCATGACTTGTTTCCTTTCTCAAACTTCCCCATAGATACTTTTGAGTCTGACTGCTTGACCCTGTAAAGTTTTTCTTGTAATGCTGTTCTGTTTTGGTTTGGAGGTGGTTTGTTTTGTATTTTGGAGGGAAACAGGTTATCATTAGCCAGTCTGACCTCAAACTCTCAATCTTGAGTGCTGAGATTATAAGCATGCCACCACCATGTTTTATATTTTTTATGGATGTCCATGTATTAGCTCCCTTCCCCCATCTGTATTTCAGACTCACTTGCATTTTTATTTGGAAGCATCTGGTTTACGCTTTTCTCTCCCTTATATCTGGAACAGAGTCTAAGACCCTAGCACATGTCTTTTGTATCCTTGCCTCCCTTAAGCCCTAAAGTTCAGTTAATAATGATAGTAAACAAAAAAAAAGATAATAAGCGAAGATATGTTGTAAGAACTGAAAAGAAAATTAGTGAAGATAGTGATATATCTGAGAATCAGGAACCGAAAGAAAGCAATGGAGGTAAAGTCTCACAATAAAGGTAAGTTTCACATTCTCACATGTATGCATTTCTACACGTAAACTCTTGTAGAGAGTAAAGGATGGGAGGAGGCTATTTCAGAGAGGGAGTAATTGACAGTTTTCCTGAATTAAACATAAACACTTGAAAATTTATTATTATTTTTTTTAAAAGTGCAATTAGAGTGGATATTGATTATTCTCATCTATAATCCCAGCATTTGGGAGACTGCGGTAGGACTGACTGCAAGTTCAAAGTCATCTGGAACTACGTACCAAACCCTCTCAGAAAAGTAAAAAGAGGTTGTTTAAGCATATTAATGACACTGATAAAGTAAGCAACAAGATATGATTTTATACTCACCAATTGACAAAGTTGATGTGTGGTAAATAACTACCACATGTGTAGCCGTGGTAGCCTTCAGACACAAGATAGTGTCTAGACTGCTTAGGCTGCTGTAATTAAACTTAGGTGGCATTAATTTATAAATAAGAGAAAAAATTTCACAATTCAGATAACTGGGAAGTTCAAGGCCAAATTGCCAACAGGCCTCCATTTCTGGTGAATACTTACTGTGCCTCAGAGAACTTGTTGCATCCTCCCAGGGTGGAAGGGGTAGAAGAGATTAACTTGTTACATGAAGTGTGTGCCCACTCCCCCTGTAAAGTCACTACCTATCTCCTAAGATCTTGGAGGTTAAGATTTCAATGTGAATCATTTAGACCATAACAAAAGCATATAAGAGCAGAAAAGAAATTATGTTTTAGTTACCAAAGTATTATTATTATTATTTTTTTTTTTTTGGTGTTTTTTGGTTTTTCTCGAGGCAGGGTTTCTCTGTGTAGCTTTGCACCTTTCCTGGAACTCACTTTGGAGACCAGGCTGGCCTCGAACTCACAGAGGTTCACCTGGCTCTGCCTCCTGAGTGCTGGGATTAGAGGCGTGTGCCACCACTGCCTGGCCAAAGTATTATTTTTAAGTGGCGTTGTATACATCATTAATGGACACTACAATCTAGTGCAAGATCTCACAGCTACCATGATTTCCAAGTAGTTATTAATCTGAGTGTCTTTTTGGGATACCTTATAATCATTTGTTATTTGATTAAGTCTGTCAGTGATAATAATCACAGGTAATGCAGAATACTCTTACATGTTTGCATTCATAAATATGAAATGGTAAGTTTTAAGCTGGCAGTGGTGGCACATGCCTTTAATCCTAGCACTGGAGAGGCAGAGGTAGTTGGATCTCTTGAGTTCTACTAGGCCAGCCTGCTTGAGAGCTAGTTCCAGGACAGCCAGGGCTTCACAGAGAATCCCTATCTCAAAAAACCAAACAACAACGACAAAAAAAATTATTTTAATTCAAAGTTAATGAAAATTAACATTTATTTTTGTGCAAATTGGGTAAATCTTTAAAAAGATTTTAGATTTTTTTTTAATGTACGGGAGTGTTTTGTCTGCATGTATGTATGTACATCACATATATGCCTGGTGCCAGAGGAGGTCAGAAGAAGGTGTGTTAGATTCCCTGGTACTGGAATCATGGATGGTTGTGTTCTATCATGCTGGTGTTGGGAACTGAACCTAGATCCTCTACAAGACCAATAACTGGTCTTAACAGATGAGCCATCTCTCCAGTCCTGTAAGTTTATAAATCTTAAAGAACTTTGTGAATCCTACAAGAAGCAGTGCCCTACTGGGCTTGGTTTCCCTTGCCTTTAATCCCAGCACTCAGGAGACTAAGGCAGATACATCTTTGTGAGTTCAAGACCAGACTGGACTATATAGTTAGTTCCAGAACAGCCAGGGTTGTGTAGAGAGATCCTGTCTAAATAAAACAAAACAAAAACCCCTAGTGTCCTATAAATAGTTATATGTACAAGCCCAAGAAGATTAACAGTGAAACCTTAATTGTGGTTTTGGAGAAACAACAAATGAGAGGGAGTGCTTACTAAAGATTCCTGAGTAGATAATGTATAAATTGTGGTATGTTCAAAATATTTTACAGAATGTAAAAACCAGATTTACATATCTAAATTCAGGATAGTGTTTCATTCAAGGGTAGGGAGTAAGAAGGAGAGACCACTCTCGTAACACAGAGGACTTTATAAATTAGATGTGTAATATTAATTCACATTTAGTTTTGCTGAGAATACTTTTTAAAGTATCTATTCTGAGAGTGAGTGGCTAGAGATAGTTTCCATTTTAATAAACAGAACATTGTGTATATGGATCTTGTTAAGGTATAAAAACAAACTGGATTCTTTTCCCATTCTTCATCTCAGGTAGTAAATAAATTAGTTCCTGTAATGGCACCGAGAAACTTTAAAACACATGTTGAAAGCATATTTACTAGATTGCTTGATTCTGTTAAGTTTTGTTGGGTGATGCAGTATAATCATAAAGAAAGTTATGATTAGTATAAAGATAGAACTATAGTGATTATTTAATCTTTTTGCCTTCAGAAACCCATGACCATTCCATGTCATTATTTGCCTATTTCTAACAATTATTGCCTGATTTTGGAAGTAGCAAATGAGATTATATTTTAGACATACATTGATAACTAATAATAAATAATGTCAAGCATTCACTTTATAATCTAATTTTCTTAAATATGTAGTAGTCTGTTCTCAGACCCTTAGGGCATGAAAATGACTGTTATTAGTGTTTCTTTTTAATTTTAATGTTATTTATCATTAATTAATACAGAAATAGCACATTTTATTTATTTTTTAGACAGGTTTTCTAACTTGCCATCCTCCTGCCTCAAGAGGCTATCTGAGTGCTAGGATTGCAGCCATGTACCATCATTCCCAGCTTATTTAGCTTCTGTGTGACTTGTGTTTTATTGTTTTACATCACATTACTTTGTTTTTTCCTTTTAGGATCGAAAGTTAACAAAGTCCGAAAGGCAGAGATTCAAAGAAGAAGCAGAAATGTTAAAGGGTCTTCAACATCCCAACATTGTTCGATTCTATGACTCCTGGGAATCCACAGTAAAAGGGAAAAAAATGCATTGTTTTAGTGACTGAACTAATGACATCTGGAACACTTAAAACGTAAGTATCAATATTTATAAAGATGAGCAAGAAATTTCCAGATTATCCTCGTTTTTTTAGATATACTTTTGTTGTTTAGCTTGCTAAGGGCAGAAATAATCCTTTCTCCCTTCATGATACCATGTGTTTTTTCCTACCCACAAAATCCTCTTGTATATAAGATGATATTATGATTACTTATTGGAATGAGGTTGCTGCTGAATAAACCTAGTTAATTTTAAGTCATATTGATTGGTACTTCTAAAATGTGTGAGGTTTAGGGATTAGAAATCAATGACAAGGTTGCCCTCTAGTGGTTAAAAATGAGATTAAACTATATTAAATATTTATTTGATCACATTTTATTTTTTACTCTATGTATGCAACTAGCTACTGTCTTATTTCTCTTAGTTCAAAAATTAAAACCAAAATAGCTAGATATGTTATCCACTTGAGAAAAAGAGATAACATATAGAAGTACCAAGAGCTTTGGATGAAGAAATGTGGTATACTATTAAAATCACAGGTTTGTCAAGAGCATCTGTTTATTGTATTGAGAAAGGAAGCTATTGTAAAGTACATGGTATAAATTTGTCATGGGAGAAATTAAATTTTTGTTTAAAATTTTATTTTTTTTAAATATTTATTTTATTTTAAATTACATGTGTGGGTTTGTATATATATGCCACCAAGGCCAAAGAAAGGTGTCTGATCCCCTGAAGCTGGAGTTACAGGTGGTTGTGAGCCAGATGACATGGGTGCTGGAAGCTAAACTTCTTAGGTCCTCTGCAAGAGCAGTAAGCATTTAACTGCTGGGTCATCTCTCCAGCTCTCTATTACAATAACAACAACAATAATAATAGTGATAATAATAATAATTAATTATTATTTTTGTTTTTTTAAGAAAGGGTTTCTCTCTGTAGTCATGGCTGTCCAGAACTTGCTCTGTAGACCAGGTGGCCCTCAAACTCAAAAATCTGCCTTTCTGAGTGCAGGAGAGAGAGAGAGGAGAGAGAGAGAGAGGGAGAGAGAGAGAGAGAGAGAGAGAGGAGAGAGGGAGGGAGGGAGGGAGGGAGGGAGGGAGGGGAGGGGAGGGAGGGAGGGAGGGAGAGGGAGAGGAAGAGGAGAGGAGAAAGACAAAGACAGAGACAGAGTCAGAAAGAAAAATATAATATAAGTGATTGTCTCATGTGTGGCTGTTTCCAGAGGCCAAAAGAGGATATCTGATCCCTTGGAGCTAGAGTTATATGTAATTGTAAGCTGCTGGATGTGGGTATTAGCAACCGAACTCTGGGTCTTCTTGAAGAGCAAACATGCCCTCTTAACTTTTTAACTATTGAGCCATCTTTCTAGCCTAGTTCCCAAGTAACTGAATTTTTTTTTTTTTGTTTGTTTGTTTTTTTTGTTTTTCGAGACAGGGTTTCTCTGTGCAGCTTTGCGCCTTTCCTGGATCTCACTCTGTAGACCAGGGCTGGCCTCGAAACTCACAGAGATCCGCCTGGCTCTTGCCTCCCGAATGCTGGGATTAAAGGCGTGCGCCACCAACGCCCCGGGCCCCAAGTAACTGAATTTTAAAAAAATCACTGTGATATGTTATTTGTCCTCTTATTTTATTTTGAGAGTGGATGTGGTTTGAGACAAGGTCTCACTATGTATCTCTCGGTGGCTTGAAACTCACTATGTAGACCAGGCTGCAGGCTGGCCTCTAAACTCACAGATCTGCCTGCCTCTGCCACTTTAGTGCTGGAATTAAAGGTTTAGTCCACCCACCTGCCTGGCACACTTACTTAATTAACTTTCCTTCCTTCTTCCCTCCCTCCCTCCCCTTCCTTCCTCCCTTGTATGTATGTATGTATGTATGTATGTATGTATGTATGTATGTATGTGTGTGTGTGTGTGTGTATATGAGTATAGAGGTCAAAGGGTAAATTGTGGGACTCTTTCCGATCTGGGAGGTGGAGCTCCAGCCTTGTTGGCAGGAGCTTTTACCCACTGAACTATCTGTCTCTATCAAATAAATAGTACTGAGCTGATATATATTAGGTCTTTGGAACATAGTTTTTGTCTCCTGATTATAGTTACTGATTTGAATGTGTCATTGAATTCTCTAAATTTTTTTTAGCTAGTGTCTTCAACTCTTCCTATTCTTCCATCTACCTGCCTCTGCCTCTTGAGTGCTGGGATTAAAGGCATGAGCCACTACCTCTGGGCTAAATATTTGTTTTATTTATACAGTGTTCTGCTTGCATGTATGCCTGCAGGCCAGAAGAGGCACCAGATCTCATTACAGTTGGTTGTGAGACACCATGTGGTTCCTGGGAATTGAACTCAGGACCTCTGGAAGAGCAGCCAGTACTCTTAACCACTGAGCCATCTCATACCTTTACTTTTGTAGCACTGTGTCTGAAACTTGATAAATATATTCGTGGATTAAAGAAAATTGTGTGGTAGTTGTGTGTCTATATACATCTTGAGATTATTTTCACTGGTTCAGATTCCGAGTTGATTGTCAGCATTCTGTCAGACATACCTAAAAGCATACTACAATGGTTTACTTGTGTCTTGCTTATTTATCTGTTTATTTATTCTTTGCAAAATGATTTATGGGGCTAGAGTGATGGCTCAGTGGTTAAGGCTCCTCTTGCAGAGGACCCATGTATGATTCCCAGCATTCACATGGTGGATCACATCTGTGGTCCAGGGAATCTGATACCATTTGACCTCTGTGGGCACCAAAACATGCATGTGGTGCACATATGTATAACACATGCAAAAAACACATAAAATAAAAATTAATAATCTATTAAAACTTTTCATGATTTTTTTTCATGTGTAAATGTGTATATTTATGTGAGTGTATGCCATATGTGTGTGGGAGTCTTTGCAAGAGGGAAGAGGGTGGCAGTTACAGGCTGACTGTAGTGGGTTGCCTGATATGGGTGCTAGGAAACCGAACTCTGTCCTCTGGAAGAGTAGCAAGTGCTCTTAACCTCTGAACCCATGTCTTCAGTTCCTGCCCCCCCTCCCAGTGGGGGAAAGAGTAATCCCCAGGGGATATATATATTTATATTTATATATTTATAAAAATCGGAGTTGTACCAGATATTGTGCTTGAGGAAGTGGGTACTATTTTTGGTATCCACACAGTGACAAAAAGGGCCTTGGATATCAGAGAGAAGGGTTAGAACATAATCTGTGTCAGAAATGTAATTGTCCATAAAAAGGGTGAAGTTGGCACTCCTATCAGTAAACACTACAAGAAAGCTTTTGCCCTCTAGATGGAAAGTAGGATTTCTGAAACATACTGAAGTGCTATCTTTCTTGCCCCATTTCCCTCTCCAAATTGCTATCAATGCCTGTCCCTTATATTTGTCCCTGTCACATATATTATAGAATGTGTGTGTGTGTCTATGTGTAAAAATATATATATAAATTCTGCCCTAGTTCGTGCAGGGAAACTTAGGCCAAAAGGTATATGCCATAAGGTTATTCCAGATGAAATTTCCAGGGATATTTTCATAGTTCATTGATCACATTGTCTACAGCCAAGTTTTCAAAAGTGGTATGATAGTTTTGGATGAGAATGGTCCCCCTAGGCTCATGCACTTAAATAACTTGGTTCTCAGTTGCTGGGATTGTTTGGGAGGGATTAAAGGTGTGTCTTGTTGGAGGAGGTATGTCATTGGGGGAAGGGCTTAAGTTTTCATAAGACTAGCATCACTCCTAGTCTTTTTCTCTTGTCTGCTACTTGTGGATCAGGATGTGAAAGCTCTCAGCTGTTCCTGCTGCCATTTCTTTGTTCTACCATCATGGACTCTCTTAAACTGTAAGCCCAATTAAGTGCTTTCTTTTAATATGTTACCTTGATCTTGGTATTTTGCTGTGACAATAGGAAAGTAATTAAGACAGGTGACTTCACAGTTAAATAACTAATCCACCAAAAATCATGAACATAAACAACCGGAAATTAATACTAGAGCAGTTAAGATACTGTGGCGATTCTGAAAGTAATCATATATTAAGTATTTTTCTAAGGATGAAAGTAAATATACAAACAGGAATGAGAATGAATAGATGACTTTAAAAAGAAATGGGACTCCATCAAGAAAAGGACAGGCACGATTGAGAAAGAGCTGGAGAACATCTATACCTAAGAACAAATCATTAAAATTAAAATTTCACAAGAGCTGATGGTACATTCCTGTATATCCCAGTATTCAGGATGCAGAGACACACAGGTCTCTGTGAGGCCAGGCTGGTCTGTCTAGTGAATTCCAGGCCAGCCAGGGATATATAGTAAGACACTGTCTCAAAAAATAAAATAAAATTGTTCTTTGACAATTTCATACATAAATATTATCTATTCTGATTATTCTTCCATTTCTCCAATATCTCCTCCCAGTTCCTGTCACTCCCCCCCTTCTCCTTTCAAATCTTTTCACTACTTTAATGCCTTATTGTTTTGTGACTTGTTAAGTTTAACCAGTGTGAATTATTGTTTTGTGACTTGTTAGGTTTAACCTGTGTGAACTTGAGTTTGGAATTGTCCATTGGAGCCTGGTGTGCTCACTAGTGGGTACAAAATTGAATGACAATGACTTTCCCCATAATTAGTAATCAATAATTCAGCAAAGGGGAAGGTAGGACCCTGTGAAACTTTGTCCCCCAACCCATGATTGACTGTTGACAGGCCCATGCAAGCTACTGTGAAATCATTATTGCAATGGTGGAGTAGTGCCTGGAAGATAGTCCCATAGTCCTTACCCCTATCTGGATCTTACATTTTTTTCTGCCCCAGTTCTACAATGTTCCTTGAGATTTAGGAAGAATGTTATAAAGGTTCTGTTCAGGATTGAACACTCAGCTATTGTTTATTCTCAGAAACTTGAGCAGCTGTGAGTTTCTGCATTTACCTCTGTTCATTGCAAAGAGAACCTTCTCTAATTATGGCTAAGAAGAACATTTGTCTGTGGGTATAAACTTAAACATTTAGAAGGAAGTTTGGTATGCTAGCTTTGTTC